TCCCCACTTCGGATGCCGCAAAGAATATGAGACCCTTCTCTCCCTTCTATTCTGTTTCTGTTGGTTTCCGTCCAGCTCTTGCTTCCTTCTTTTTGGTGCCTTGCTCATTTTCTCTCCCTCTTGCATCTCTGGGTTGCTTTTCTTTTGCTGTCTGTTTCCTCTTTCTTTTTCTCTACTGCTTTCTGCAGTCTGATCGGTCCTTTTTGCGGCCTCTTTCCCTCTGCCCCTGCTAGGGGAGCCTATCCTGCAGCCATCCCCTCCGTCACTGTGTCTTCACACAAAAGCTGCCTAGTTATGATGGGTGTTTTCTCTTGGGCTTTGAATTAAGGCCAGAAGCTTCCAGGAAAACTTTTCCCATCTCTTAGTGAGTCACAAATGAAAACCCATTGAGACCCTCTAGCCTAGTGGTTCTCAACCTTCCTAACGCTGTGACCTTTTAATACAGTTCCTCACGTTGTGGTGACCCCAACCCTAAAATTACTGTTGTCGCTACTCCATAACTATAATTTTGCTGCTGTTATGCATCGTAATGTAAATAAATATCTGACACGTAGGATATCTGATATGTGATCCCCCCAAAGGGTTCATGACTCACTGATTGAGAACTGCTGCTCTAGCAAGATCTGGAGGGGCAAAGGTAAACATTGTACCGCCCTCTCTCCATGGATGACAGGCATTGGTGGGAGAAATCCCTTTTCATGAAGCAGTGGGGGAGTTGCAGGTGGGTGGGTGAGCATCAGGGTAGGGAACCTGGCACAAACACAGGTGTTAACCTGGTTTTGAGTAGACCATCTCACGGAGCCCAGTTTTCTTCTTAAAACACCACAACAGGTAAGAGCATTGTGGAGCCTGAGAAGGCCCACCAGCCAGTGCCAGCCCTAGCACCACCGACTAGCCACGGTCCAGTAGCTTAGCCCTCTCACCTGTCCTCTGCTCACCTGTATGCTAGGTCTTTATAGAACCCTCCTTGTAGGGTATTTGAGAATGTTAAGTAAGGATACTGGACCACAGTCCTTGTAGTCAGCAAGAACTAACCCAGAACTGATGCAAAACACTCAGGATAATTTAAAAGAAAGGCTTTGTGGAGCGGGGGTAGGGTTGTTCTATGCAATGCGGGAGCTGATCAAACAGTTTGTAGGAGGCTGTTGCTTCCATGTTTGGGGCTGGAGCCAATGGAGCATTTGGGAAGGAAAAGCCAGGAGCTAGAGTGAAGAGGATGGAAACCTGGGGTGGAGCATGCTGGGAGATAGAGAGCCTGGCAGGCTCTCGTCCTGCTTGGTCTTCATCTCCTCTGTTTGTTTTTTTGTTTTTGGGAGACAGGATTTCTCCATGTACTAGTCCTATTGTCCTGAAACTCATTTTGTAGACCAAGCTGGCCTTGAACTCGGAATTCCACCTGCCTCCGCCTTTCGAGTATGGGGATTAAAGGTGTGCGCCACCACTGCCTGGCTTAGTCTCCGTCTTTGAAGATTCCCATGACCTGCAGGAGAAACTGATGCCTGTCTCTAAGTCACTGTATGGGACTGACCCAGGACTGAAGAAGCTGGAAGCCTGGGAGAAAGTGGAGGAGCATGCAGGCCTGGGGCTGCCTCAGTACAACTAGTGAACCTTGTAGACAAGCAAGGAGCGTATCACCATAGCATCATAGTCCGTGTTGATGCCTGTGTCATGTATATGAATGCACATGTGTGTGAGTGCCTGCTTCCCCATCGCTGTCTACCCCAGAGTCTGAAAGAAGTATAGTTGTGCTACGTCAGGCATGTGCCTCTTGGAGTCTAGGCTGACCCTTTGCTGAACTACGTTGGATGAGTACAGAAGCCACCATAACATCCCCATTGCCCAGAGGCTGAAGGCTCTTTGGGTCTTTACTATATTTTCTCCTGTATGGCTCTTTATATTCTTTCATGAAGGACATTACAGACAAGTGCATCATGTTTCTCAAAGTTTTTTTTGTAAGAAACACTTCATTTGCTCTAGTTAGCACACATATATATTTATTGCACCCAATGTGCTGTTCTGATGGATGTATATATCCTGGGTTGGCTAAATTGGGGTAATTAACATATGTTTAACTTCACATACTTCCTTTTGTGGCGAGACCCCTTAACATCTACTCTCCTATCCATTCTCGAGAATGAACTATTTCATTATTAACCCTAGTCATACATGAGTTTTCTTGAACTTAACTTTTCTCATTTTAATGGCTCAGTATGAAATCTGGACTGAAGTTAGACTGCTTTTTCCTTTTTTTCCCTCTTTTCTTTTAATGTGCTTTGGAGCTAAATTTAGGCCACATATAGTATTGCTAAATAAATACTCCACTGTGCTATTCGAGTTCACCAAGTGATTCTAATCAGGTGGGCACGGCAGCCATGCATCCATGTTGGCAGCGACTAGGTACCGTGGGTCTTACACAGGGCTCATATGAAGTAGGTACTGAACAAATCCCAGGGACAGAGAGGATCAAGGTCATATGACTAGTAAGTGATGGCTCCTCCATCTGACCCAAGTATCACAGGGCTCCTGCAAAAGACAGGGCAGGGAGTAGGTGTAAAGGCCTGTGCATATGAAATTGTGTGTGTGTGTGTCTGTGTCTCTGTGTCTGTGTCTGTGTGTCTGTGTGTATAGAGGTACATTTGCATGTGTGTTTCTATACATGTGGAACTAAGGGACAATCTTGGGTGTTATTTTTCAGGTTCATTGATCTAGTTTTCTTGAGGCAGGAGCATTAGACTAGGCTGACTGGCTAGCAGGTCTGAAGGACATGTTTGCTTTCACCCCTCTCTAGTGCTGGGATTCTAAGCATGCACCTGGCTCTTCTGCACTGGTCCTGGGACTGAATTCATGCTCTTAAGGCCAGTGCTTTCGCCTGTGCATATGTGCCATCTCCCCAGCCCTGAGGTAGATGAACTTTTGCCTGTGTCATGAGAGAAGGGGTCTCAGGAAGAGCTGGGCTTGAGTATCCTCTTCACAGACTCTGCATCCCTTCTTCTATTCTGTCTAGAGCATGCTCTGTAGACAGCCTGTTTTACTTTTACGAGTTGTGACCGTGTCTGGCGCTGGCCTAACCCACTTCCCAGTGGCCAGGCTGTGTTGTGGATCGATAGGGACTGGGGAAGACTCATCTTGTGTTGCAGTTGGCGCAACACTAAACATCCGTCCTCTCTTGCATGTCTATGAAGAGTTTCCTGTGGGGCAGGAATTTTCCGTTTAAGGACTGTACTTCCGTCTGTGTGAGATGGCCGTGCCCACAAGTGAAAGTGATTTATCATTTTCTAATCCAGGAGTTTAAGGAGGAAGTAGAACAACAGTTCTTAACCTGTGGGTCACAACTCCTTTGGGGGTTGCATATCAGGTATCCTGCATATCAGATATTTACATTATGATTCATAACAGTAGCAAAATTACAGTTATGAAATAGCAATGAAATAATTTTATGTTTGGGGGTTCACCACAACATGAGGAACTGTATTAAAGGATTGAATTGTTAGGAAAGTTGAGGACCACTGGTATAGAGCTTCCCAACTTGTTTGCTCACCCGCTGAGGGCATGTCAACAGTCAGTGTGACCCTGAAGCCTCATGCTGTCTATGATGGTCTGTACTAGCCTGGGCCCCAGGGGCTGAGTGCAGCACAGTCTCCCATTCTCAGCAGTCAGGAGGTCTTGGGTTAGACAGTTACTTAAGAGGAAATAAAATTACACAGTAAGAAGCCATCAGAGTGTGTATTACAGTGTCTGACTATACCCTAGCCCAACAGAACTCAAATAGTGGCACCTTCAATAAGACCTTCAGAGACCTTGTGGAGCTTGTTAGAAGTGCAGATTCATAAGGACCACTCCACAAGACAGTCTGAAAACTCAGACGAAGCCCCAACAACAGGGCTTTGACAAACTCCCAGGGCATCCCAAGTTCTAACTCAAGTTAAAAATCCCTGTCCCAGGCTAGTCACTGTAGTATGGAGGTTGCTAGTTAGTTCCCGGCTGCTCAGCCTCGGAATAACCACACAGAAACTGTATTAATTAAATCACTGCTTGGCCCATTATCTCTAGCTTCTTATTGGCTAATTCTTGCATATAAATTTAATCCATCTCCATTAATCTGTGTATCACCACGTGGCTTACTGGGTAAAATTCCATCTGGTTCCAACAGGGCTACATGGCTTCTCTCTGACTCCGCCTCCTTTCTTCCAGCACTCAGTTTAGTTTTCTTCACCTAGCTCTACTCCATCCTATCACAGGCCCAAGACAGTTTGTTTATTAACCAATGGTATTCACAGCATACAGAGAGGAATCCCACATCAAGTCAGCATTTCATTCATAGCCTCTGAATGGAAATCCAGCCTCAGGCCTCTCATCTGTTTTTTACCCTCTCTCAAGACCACTTCCGGTGCCACCTTTGCCTCTTTGGCACCTTCTGTAGAAGACAGAAGTAATACCTACTCTATTTTTTAAAATGAAAATAATTAATGTAGGGGCTAGAGGCATGGCTCAGTGCTTAAGAGCACTTGCTGCTCTTCCAGAGGACTGGGGTCCCAGCACACACATGGCAACTGACGGCTGTCTGTAACTCCTCTCCAGAATATCAAATGCCCTCTTTTGGCTTCCTTTGGGTAGTAGGCACACACATATGCTGCACAGATATGTAGACAGGCAAAGTACCCATATACAAACAAACAAACAAACAAATAAATAAATACATTTAATTTGATTTGACTTTATGTGTGTGAGTATTTCAGCTACACACATGTCTGTGCACCACTAGGGTGCCTTGTACACACAGAGACCAGAAGAGGGTGTCGGAGTCCCCAGAACTGGAGTTACAGATGGTTCACGAGTCATCGTGTGAGTGGCAGGAATTGAACTTGGGTCCTCTGGAAGGACAGCTGGGACTCCTAACTGCCGGGTCCTCTCTCCAGTCCCAACCACTCTGATTCTTGACATGAAGGCATTCTGAGGTGGCTCACTAATTCCGTCCCTCCTTTTTTTCTTTCTCTTGACAGCTACAGAGAAGCATCGACAACAGGCTGACTCATAAAGTTCCCCAAGAAGCTATCAAGTATGGTTTGGACCAACTGCCCTTTGGATGGGGTTTGTTGTCAGCACTGGGTTTTAAAGGCAGTAATGGAGACTCAGAGGGTGGATTAGATGGGGAGGAGGTCTGCAAATCAAGCCTGCTTCTTTGTTGCCGTTCTCTACATTGTTTCTGCCCTCCTCGGGTCTCCAGGTGACTAGTCTTTCTCAGAGAGACTTTTGAGTTGCAGCCTCGTAGTCCCTGTGATAGAATCACACCAGGTGTCCAGACTGTCCAGGGAAACTTTTTTGCTTGCCATTTTTCCCAAATACACCAAATATAGACATACATTTGTCTTCTGCCTGTGACTGTGAATTCAAGACGTCCTACGTAGAGTGAATGTGTGGGCTAACCAATAAGGCCGTGTGGCTCACTGAAGCTTTTGTGGGACTTGGCATGTCTGGAAACAGCTCAGATTTTCTGCAAAGGAGCTGGCACCCTGCTGCAGTTGTTTGGCGCAGACAAACAAATGGCCGTGGTGCTTGTGGGAAACGAGGGACACAATGTGAATTAGGGCAGTGCTTCTCAAACTGGAACCTGTGTTAGAGTTTCTTGTAAGGCTTGTTAAAACACAGCTTCCTGCAGCCCACCCCCAGAGTTCCTGCCTGATTCTGATATGACCTCTGTAGGAATCAGCAACACTGATTCCTACTGTAATTCAAACTGTAAGCAACACTGGATTAGGGTAACACCAAATACTATAGCAACTCCTGCCTGTCAGCAGCCTAAGTCTGTGAGAGTATATTCTCATTCATTAACAGGGGAATGACTGAATATTTTCCCCAATACTACTGGGAAAAGTCAGATGTGAATGAATTGATGCCAAATGTCAACAGAGAAAGGCAATTTGTCAAATTATACAGCACGAGAAAAACCCATTTTGGAGAAAAACCCCAAAACTAACCACACTTTTCTTCAGACCCTGAATCCTGTGTTGAGGGAAGATTGAGTGAAGGGTGGAGACTACACCTGGAAGAAAGGTATCCTTGAGAGTTAAGGGAGAACCGCTTGCTAATAGTACTCCTGCATTGCTTAAGAGGATGAGAGTACCTTTAAAATGCAAGAAGCAATAAAAAGTACGCTGGCATCCCATAAAGGGACAATTTTGAGTCTGCTTTGTTTCTTTCCTGCAGGAGAGGGGTAACATTTTTTTTCTATCCATAGGTGAAATAATATTGGAGTTTAGTAGTTTTGATGAATGAATGATCATGTATACAACTATACCTCTTGTTTCTGGCACCTGGGAGAGGTGAGATGAACAAATCATGTAGGGATTTTCAAAGAGTGATGTGTTGAGTTGCCACCCACCCCATGGTGCTTCATGATTCTCCTGGCTGTAGGTATGTATTATACAGTACGACCTTGCCTGCATGGGTCCAGCCACCCCGTAGTACCTCATGATGTTCCTTGCTGTAGGTGTGTATTACACAATATGACCTTACTTGCATGGGTCCAGCCACCCCATGATGCTTCATGATGCTTCTGGCTGTAGGTGTGTATTACACAGTATGACTTTGCCTGCATGGGTCCAGGACAGGTGGGTCACAGTGGTTCATTCCTGAAAATGGATGGTCAATGATTTCAACACTGATGGACAAGGAAGTGTTGCTCTTGGGAGATAAAAATAAGTAAGACCCAAAGAAACCAGACCAAGACTCAAGTCTCCACACTCATAGGTAGCAATGAGGGTTTGTTCTAGCCTGGGCACTGGAGATATGGTGCCTTCAGGTGGGAGATGAGGGCAGCTAGCTTCAGACAGGCAAGACTGACTTTAGACTTCACTTACCTGTACTTTTGGGTTCTCTCAAGTAGCTCCTGGGTATGAAGGCTTTGGGCTATGTGTTGGGGTCTCTGCCAACCCTACATGGTTCTGGGAGTCAGGAAGCCCAGGTCATGTTTTACAACCTCACCTGGCATCTGCTCCATTATGGGAACCGAAAAGGGAAAACCAGTTTAAGATGAGGTGGCACTCACCCAGGATGAGCCAGGGGAGGCCAGGTCTTTACTGGGAGAGACAATGGAGGGAGAAGAGAGAGTTTCTAGGTAGGAGAATTCCCCAGGGAAAGAATCTAGTCTGCAGTGCTGGGATAGGAAACCCCTTCACAGGAAACTAATTCAAGAACAATTTGATTTAACGCCCCACAGGGGACTGAGAGCACTGGATTGAAAATTCAGATCTTATTTCTATTAAATATGACCATAGGAAGGCTTCCTGCTTAGCTGAAATATTGACTTTTTTTTCTTTGTAACCATTCTTTGAGAAAGATGTTACTAACATCAGTGTTGCTAGTGGGGAAACTGAGGTCCAGAATATTTCGTGGCTAGTAAGTATCACCTCTCAGTGGACTGATATTAGTCAATTTCCAGCCAAGGAATGGAAATGTTTCTAGTCATTTTAAAGAGTGGGGATTTAATGGAGAAAATGAGTTAGATAAGTTGGATTTTGGCAAGAGGAGGCAGCTGCTACCATTTTTCATTCATTACTTCTTCCCATCTCAGGAGTCCAGGCTGTTCCCAGAAAGCAAAACTGTGAGGGTTTGTAACTAGTGATGGAAAACACCATGCAAGGGACAGAACCTGGAGGAAGGAGGAAGCATGAAGTGTTTTCCCCTCTAATGGTTCTCATTGATTAACATTACTCTTTTCTTTCTTTTCTCCCTCCTCCCTCTGTCCCTGCCTCTACCCCTCTGTTTCCTTCTCCTTTTATTCTACAGAATATTACTTGAATTTGAATGAGAAATATCCCTCACTAGCTCATGTATTTGAACATTTGGTGCCAGTTGACATTGCTCTTTGGGGGAGGTTGTGAACTTCAGAAGGTGCAGTCTGCTGGAGGAAGTAGCCACTGGCGGCAGGCTTTGAGATTCCATCGCTCTACCTTACTTCTTATTCTCTGCTTCTTCTCAGCGTTTGCAGTTGAGCACGTGATCTCACAGCTTCCTGCTCCAGCCATTGGCTGGCGTACCATTCCTGCCATTATGGACTCTCTCTGTGGAGCCATAAGCCAAAATAAACTCCCCCATAAGTTGCTTTTGGTCATGATGTCCTATGTAGCAACAGAAAATAGCTAATACAGCAGCCCACAATGGATTGTCACTCACTAGGGAGACCAGTTTGACCCTGAGCTTGTGACGGTCCTCCCATCCCTCGCTGTTGGGAAGACAGCTGAGCCACCATGCTCAATGCCTGTTCCTTTTTGAGGTGATCTCCTTCCCTATGTCATTCTCTCCTTTCTGTCTCCATCCTTCTCCTTTTCCTTCTTCCTAGACATTTTCCAGTAAATTTCAATCATTTACTAGGTTTCATGTATTTGTGTGAAAAATAGGAATTCAATGGCAAACAAAATAGTTTTAACAAGCGCACACAGTTCTGAACCTTGAGTGCCCACTAATAAGTAGCTCATGGCTCAAACGAAAAGCCATGAAGTGTGTCTATAGGAAAGATCTATAGCAAAGTAGTAGTGCAAATTTTAATATAAAGGTTCTTAGAGTGCGCCTAAAATGGTATTTATAGTCTTAAACATTTGCAGTGAACTGAAGATGATAGGAAAAGAAAAATAAAGGCTCAAAGTTCAGTAGCTCAGGGAGGGAATAATTGGATAAGCAAAATGTAGCAACAAGTTCATGTGTGTTAAAGACAATCAACCAACGGAGAGCATAAGGTCCTAAAGTACAAGGAAAGAAACGGGGCTCTGAGGGGTGGCATTACATGCAGTGGAAGGGTGGCTGAGCCATTTTAACCCGACCTCCTTGAAACTGTTTTGAAAAGTATAGTTTTATGAAAGTCACAATTTACCAAAACCGACTTAAGAAAAAGAAAGAAAAAAATCAACTAGATTTAAAATGAGCAGTGTCTCTCCATGTCAGGTCAAATTTACAATTTTGAATAAGGAACCAGTGGCCCAGAGACACACACTGCTTTGGAGTCTGCAGCTGGGAAGGGGTGGAGGCAAAGCCAGGTATGTCTGAGTGTGAGGATTCAGCTTCCCTTGTGGGGCGGGAGCTGATGAGGCCTTTGCTGGGAAATTCCCCAGAGACGCCTGCTATTGGGTTGCTCAATCAGCAGCACGTTCAATGCACCTCTAGGAGAGGCATTTGGCACCTGAATTTCCCCTGAACATTTCACCATCACCATCTCCAATTACTGCACATGTGGGCAGCCTCGAGCTGCCGGGAGATCTTCCAAGGCCGCCCAGCAGAGAGGGGCAGGGTGAGCAGCTGAGCCTCCGCCTGGGGCTCCTTGACTCAGCAGACTCCCAGCAGAGGACTGCCCACTGTATGCCTCTGTCTGTGCATGCAGCGCAGGCCTCCGAGACAGGCCTCCACGAAGCCCTGTGGCTGGATGAGCTTTTCCCTCAGAGCTAGTGTGTTATGTGGCTTGATCCCTAGGGTAGCATTATTGGAGGAGGTACGGCCTTTAGGAGATGGCCTTGTCACAGGTCTAATACAAACAGGGTCAAGCAACCATGGACCAGAAGTTCCTTAAACTATATGCCAAAATTAATCTTTTTTCTTTCTAAACTTATTATGCTGGGTATTTTGTGATAGTGACAGAAGCTGACTGACCCGAGGGGCAATTCAGGGGCTAACCTTAACCCAAACAACCTCATGAAAGGGCATCCATCACCTGTGTCTTGTTTGCATCCCTGTGACCTTTCTCTTGGGACCTTACCCCTCTTTCCTTCCCTTTTGGGGTCATTATGGGGTTGCCAAAGACAGAATCCTATCATACATGGCTAGGGGACTCAAGCCAATAAGAGCCCACGCTTCATTTGTGATGTATGGAGCATCCCTTTCTTTTGGATTGGCCGAGTAGGAACAAAGTAAGCCTGGGGTTTGGGGAGACCTGCTCATCTGCCTCTGTATCACGACAGCTAAGGGAAGTGACAGTGGGGTGGGAAGGGGCGGTCGCCCAGAGGAACCTTGAGACATTTGACAATCCAGCTTTCAAGTCCAGCTGTGCAGAGCATCCTCCCCTTTTCCTGCAGGGAAGCCAATGTCATCCCTTTGTTCTTAGCTATGTTTTGAGTTGGGCTTTTGTCTCTTAAAGCCCAGAGAGTCCTGACTAAGGCCTCCGTTTGTCTTGGCTTCCCCCTCTCCCTGTCCCTGGGAAGTGACTCATCCCCTCAACACCTTACAGCTCCCCCATGTCCTTCTCTTCAGTACGTTCTGCCCACTGCTTCTTGGTGAAGGTTTAGCTTGGCTCTGGGTATTTTAATGGCAGGCACAATGATGAAGGACCATGAAACAGACCCCACCAAGGTGAGGATTCAATAAAACCATTCTGCTTGGGGAGGAGACTGGGGCGCACTAATGACCACAGCTACCGTTGAGTCAGGAACCATTCCGTGTGCTTGAAGTACATGAGGTTATCCCATTTTCACAGCCGTTCCACACACAACTCCTAATATGGCTCCCATTTTACAGACTGGGAGACTGAGGTCAAGGGCTTAAATAAATTGCCTAGGGTCACAGAGTTAGGATGTGATAAAACCAAGTTATGGACTGGTTTTATGTTGCAGCCCCTGTTCTGACCAACTTACTGACTTGAATCAATCAGGGACTTCAGTTAAGGTGCTTGGTGAGAGGTGACTTTGGTCTCTTTCCCAAGTTACCTTCAGTATTCTTTACATAGTTTCTGCAATTTAAAGAGCCAAACACAGCAAAAAATTAGGTTTGTGTTTTGGTGGAGGAGAGGAACTACTTTGAGTTAGTGGAAGAAACTGAAACAAAGTAAAGCCCAAACAGCCGTTTCTGCAAGAATGATGCCCCCACAACAGAACAGTGCAGCTCCGTCTTGTAGAGGGAGGGCTGACTGTCATAGCTCACCTCTTTTTTGGAAGCTTCGAGCTAGAACTTCA